TCATCATGGACAGGTTCTCTCAACCTGTGTTATCTAAACTGGACTTCCATCTTCCAGGTCCATGAGTGAAGCTCTAGTATCAGCTCACGCAGTCCACTGGATCTCCCCATAAAGCTCAGCAGACCGTCTCGCTAACCAGCAGTCTACAGACTGACAAACTTCATCTATCTCCACTCCACCACCAGTTTCAGGCCTGGGGGGGAAACAGCCCTGTTCTTTGCTCCTGTTCATGCATATCTATCAAAATTCAGCGCTATGTTTCCTGCCGAGGTCTGAGCACCAAAGACCAAGTAATTGTATCAATAAATTTCTTCTAATTGTCTTTTCTCTTTGTGTGAGTTTTTCAGATTGAAATGCAGTTCAACGCAGGCTGTTCAAATTCTGTCAAATTTAAGGTCCAGACATGTTGGCGTTTACCTACTGCTACCACTGAATATGGCACTAATAAACAATTTCGTTTCCACGAAATATATTTAACTTGTAGCGGTACGCAGTTTTAGAAAGAACTGCTGCAGGCAATGTTGTGCCACCAGCACACATTTACCTGTCTGGGCGCGCAGAGAGACTAATCCACAGCATTTAAATCAAACACGTCCTCTTTCAATACGTGTCTGGTGCATATTACACTCTGTGGAATCTTTTTCTGCTAGCTATTCTTATGCACAAATCCAACATCATCAACTTTCTGTGCCACTGACCCATGGCAGTCTCAAGGATCTGTTCTAATTCACGCAGTAAGATATTACAGCTTTATAGCAGACCAAGAAAAAGCCATCAGCTTTAATAGCTGTACCCCTCCTGCTCTGCTTCACACAGGTGATTATAGATTTTTATTTTTATTTAGGTTTATGACATGACAAAGCCAGCAGGAAAGGTAATGGAAATAATTCAGACATTTTATCAGACCATATGTGCTAACTTCTGTAAAGCATATTAAACTGACTTTTTGTTCCCATATTAAACTGAAATAAAATTAAAAAAAATCAGTAAACTTTTTTTTTTTCAGTGGCCCTAATCCTCTTCTGTATAAAGGGTGGTGGGAGTTCATGAGTTGTCAACTATAACATCTTTAGGCAACTATTGGGAAAATACATTCATGATTACCTGAAAAAGGCCTTGCTTTCAATTTTAAACTGCAATTTAGTGATGAGTTTGTGCAGCATGGCTGGATAATGCAGCTTCATGCAACTGTGCACCTGCCTGAGTGTTATCTCTGATGTTATTTTAGCACAATGACCAATGCATCCTGTAATACTGACTAGATAACTCTTACTCACCCCAGTCAGCCTCAGCAGATGGCCGCTCACACTGAGCCTGGTTCTGCGGGAGGTTTCTTCCTGTTAAAAGGGAGTTTTTCCTCTCCACTGTCGCAACAAGCATGCTTAGTGTGAGGGACTGTATTTGAGTCAATGAGTCGATGTAATCAACTGGTTTTCCTTAGATAGAAAACTTTGAATCAATATGACTGGATGATCTGGTTGAACTGTAAAGTGCCTTGAGATGACATGTGTTGTGAATTTGGCGCTATATAAATAAACTGAATTGAAATTGAATTGAACTCAACATCGCTGGCCATACACACGCAAAATGGAAATAGGAAACACAGATGTATCTGCTGTTACCATGAGGTGAGCAATGCTGCCTGCAAACACGGATGCCATGAATGATATATTACCTACTGTAAAAAAAAAAAAAAAAAAAAAGTTAACAAGTCAAGAAAAAGATAAAAGTTAAATTAGATTGAAAGGTTAAAAAGTTAATAAGCCTAGTTAACAATAAGTTTTAGGTTTATAAACTAAAAAATGTAAGTGCCAGTATCAGCATTAATGCCTCTAAGGTTATGTTGGACCAAAAAAATTAATAAAAGTGTTTCTTTCACTCTGATTGTTTTTCACAAATTCTTTATAGAAGGACTTTAGTTATTTTTCTTAATATATTCGGGTAAGTTGGCATTTCTTGTTACATTGAAATTAATTTTTGCCATGAAAATATCCATATTTTTTTTTATGTTACAAAAGTAATAAGTTCTTGTCCTGGATTCCAATAACACTATTGGCAAGCAGAGTGCCCTATTAAGGGTTAAAGCCAGATTATTTTAATGGTTGTTTACAAAAACATGCAGAATACAGAATTTGAAGGATTTCCAGGAGAGGCAGGAAACCTGGTCCAAATTAAATGCAGAGGAAGCAACATTTGTTTAAATACAAGTTTAAAGGGGGAAAAAAACTAACAGGATAGATTGTTTTATCAAATGCATAGAATTAAATGGACTTACTTCATTTTGTTGAATGTTGTTTTCTCTGCTCTGTAAGGGACATCCAGGCAGGTGCAGAACTTGATGTCTGGATCTTCAGACTGGTGGGAGAAACCGAGGCGGTCCTCCTCCAGGAGCAGGAGAGACAGAAAGAGGAGGAGGGAGAAAATATCTGGAAGGGAGTCAAAGTCTTAGGACCCCCTGTGTGCTCCCCTTTGCCTAATAAACCTTAAACACGTAGAGATCAAAGCTTATGTGACACAACCAGTTGTATTGATTTTTTTTTATTCCCTCAGCGAAAAGTACAAATAAATCCGATTTTAATTTTATTCTCGCTCTTTCCTGGTCGCTAGGGGTCAGTAAAGCCCGTTTTTAATTTGATTTGATCGAAAGTAGATGATAATATTAATTAAATATATTTTCCACCAGTCTTATTTTTAAATAACTAATAAACTTTCACATTCCTCCAGATTATTTCTTTTTTTCTGTCAAACTGAGTTAAGCAGTTTTCATGCATTTTCAGTAATTCTTTGATTAATCTTTAAACAAAACCTTTTCAAACATGTCCTGATTGGAAAATTCCCTGCATGCTGATCCCAGCACTGCTGCACACTGTGATCACTGCATGCAGAGCAGGTTAATCTCAAGCAAAAATCTGCTGAAATGACAGATTCCTGGTGGTCTGTAATAAATGTTGAATTATAGAACTACCACTGGGACATATAATAAATAATAAAAGAGTATCTATAGACTGGCGTCTACTTATGACTGGCGTCTACTTAAGACCCTGGGGGAAGGAAATTCCTAAAAATTAATAATATATGTAGGATTACTGAGCAAAGCTTAATCACTTAATCTTCTTTTAGTTTGAATTTCGGAAAAGTCTTTAATTAACACTGGAGTAATAATATTCTATGAAGAAATGTCCAGGTTGGTCCAAACTATGGAAGATCGGAACACATTTCAGATTCATAAACATTATTTATGGTTTTATTACTTAAAAAAAATATTTTTTTCAGCCTTGAGTTAAAAAAAAAAGGAAATTAATGAAAGTTTAACACAAAAAACACTTTAAAAGTTGGAGCAATATTTATTTTCCAAAATCTTGTTTGTTTGCTGAAGTGGATCAAATATTATTAGTCCTCTTTGGGAAAAACAATCCCTATCTAAGATGTGCCTGACAGAAATGGATGTAAAGCAGGTGTTCATATAATTCGAAGTAAAAAAAATTTTTTTACCAGGAGGTTAAAGTTAAAATGTGTCAATGAGTTTATATTGTTTATTGCAGCTTTGAAATAGAAAAAAAGAGAACAGTGATATGAGAGCCACACATATTGTGAATTAAAGCTACAGTGTGTAATAATTCTAGGGTTTGTGGAAATAAATGTATAATATTATAGTATTTTATTTAATGTCATCTACAAACTGAAAGTCTTAATCTTTATGTTTGCGTTTGGTTATAAATTGCTACTCTAGAGGTCGCCATTACGCTCCTATATGCCTGCAGCAAGTTAGGCCTAAATAAAATCTGCATCCTACGCAGACTAATAAAAATTTTGAAAATTATCTGTGTAAACAAACCTCGTTATGACTTGACAAGAAAGGTGATGGGGATATTGTGGAAGTCATTTTGTACCATGCTGGTTTCCGTACTGTTGGAGGGGGAGAAGCGGTTCATGTCTGACCGTTAGATGTTGCTAAAAATGACACACTGTAGCTTTAATTACTCAACCCAAAAAAAAATAATTACTGAACAGTTACATTTGGCAAAATAAAAACAAAGCATGTTTTTCTTCATCATGATTAACAGTCGCTTCAGTAGTATTGGTCGGATGACCTTTGACCTGTCATTTAAATGCATCAGATGTCCTCACATCTTAGTTTTTCTTTAATTGAGGTTTCTGTGAGCTCAGATAAAACTGGACTGGGTGACAACAACAGACTTAAGAGGGCTGATTATAAAACCCAGCTCCCCAATATGAGGTGGTTATTCTCTCAGCTGGCCGACTGATGCTCCGATATCAACATCAGCAGTGATGGGAGTAACGGCGTTGAAAGTAACGGCGTTACTAATGCCGCTACCTTTTTTAGTAGCGAGTAATCAAAATTATTACTCTTACTATAACTATAACGCAGTTACAATTGCCGACACCCCGTTACTGCACGTTACTCAGGTCGCACAATTAACCTTTTTTCATGATAGGACTCGTGCGCGCGTCATGAGAGAGGGGAGGATGGAGAGTGAGGAGGACTCCAGCGGCAAAACAACGCTTTCCAGATGGAAATACCGGTGTTACGTCGAGCTGCGTTTCCTCATCAGATACGGTTTCCCCTGCATCTCCGCACAGCGCGACGACAAGCGACAGGAAACGCGCATGCTCGCTGAAGGCGCGTAACAGCCGCCCTGTGCTCGCGCCACAGGGGAACTACGGAGAGCGTGAACGATCATTAGCATTAGCATTACATGTTGCAGTATCTATAACAACCCAAACACAGGATTTCAGAATTAGACATCCCCAGTTATTAATTTCATACACTCGCAAAAGTAACGCAATAGTTACTTTTACTACTAACTAGTTACTTTTATTTTGGAGTAACTCAGTTACTAACTCAGTTACTTTTTGGGAGAAGTAACTAGTAACTATAACTAATAACTTTTTTAAAGTAACGTGCCCAACACTGAACATCACTGATTATCACCAAATGTCTGTGTTGTATCAATATCAACAGCAGAGAGGCAAAAGAACCTTCTAGTTTTTGTTGCCAATTTCTGCCCATTTAGTGGAAACTTAAGTCCAATTATCCTACCTTAAATGAAGTTAAAATCCGCTCTAAGAACTGATGAAGCGCCGTGAAGAAGAGGAGCCAAGGAGGCTGCCAATAGACCTACTGTAACAGCAACGGAGCTGCAGAAAGTTCTGGAAACAGTGGTGGGGCAGTAAGTGTGTTTTTTGTTAGGAAAAACATCAAAAGAAAGTTAAACTGTGCATATCACATTTGAATTCACCCATAAGCCGCTGGAAAAGGCTTTACGGATCAGGATGAGAACACGGTACCCACAGTGGAGTGACAGCACCATCATGCCCAATATAACCAATCATTTCATTTTTAAGAACTTACAAATTTTACCTACAGTCTTTGCTGAAAACATTTTGGTCCCAAACGTGTCCGAAGCACCATTTGAACTCACTATAAACCCTGAGAAAGATTGTTATAGTTGACAGATTACATGTGAAAAATGTTAAAAAATAACTCCTCATGCTTGTTTAGATCCAAACCCTGAATAACTGCAGCTTCTAAAATATTCTATATGCTTCAGTTCAGTATTCAAAAAACAAGAAACAAACCGAATGGAAAGGTGCATTAGTTTGTCATGGATGAATGCTACTAGTTTTTGTCATCGGCAACACTAAGTAAACAAACAAACAGAAACACAGTCCAATGATGGTGTAGAAAGATTTCTTCAGACATTATGTCTTCAAGCATTCCCAGAACACCAAACAAACACGTCCAGAAGGCACATTTGGTTCTCTGTTTAGCTTCAGACTCTGCGCTAAGATCTGGAGATGAGGGTCCTCTCCCATTCCTCTTCTACGACTTTGTAAAGCTCCATCGTGGCTTTAGCGTCCTCCACAGACGAGTGGCCTTTCCTTCCAGTCTGAGGACAAAAAAGAAGACGGTTTAGCTCCACGTTCATAAATATATTCATAAATAACTGTGGGTATTGATTCAAATGTCAGGACTCAGGAATATATTTTATTTCAATTCTCAAAATTTAGAAGCGATTCTTTTCAATCCGGTTTTGGATCTTTAATTAGATGCTGCTATTAAAAGCTTTTATTCTGTTACATTAACTGTGATTAACTGTGTAGTTATAAATCATAATAATAATCACATTTTAGAAACATTCAACAGCATATTAATAAAGTGATGGTAGTTAATGATTGAGTTAATCAATTGTTAATTTTATCAGTGATATTTAAGAATAATATGGGAATCAATTAAAGGATAATTCCGGTTTTTAACACTTTTAGCCCATTTTCTGTAGTGTCCAGGATGAAATCGAATGATCGACACCAAAATTTTGACGATTGGTCCTGTCTCTGCTATTTGGCTCATGCAGAATCCCCCCCTGGCTGCTTCAGAATGGCTTCCATAGTGCATGTCCGATAATGTCCTTAAAACAACCTTAAATGTTCTTTTTTTTAAATATGCTACTCACCGGGTCGTCAGCGCTGTTCAATGACGTTCCAAAAAAAGTTTCGTGAAGAAAAACCGTTCCTGTCTTGTTTTATTTAGCATTTTGTAAATCCCAGAACTATTTTTTCCGATACATCACAACCGCTTATAAACTTCCGCTTCCCGTTCGAATCTGAAGCGTTGCACACTCCAGACCACTAGTTGGCGACGGTATCCTCTACCGCCAAACTCAAAGTCCAATATGTCCTCCTCAAGAATCCACCTTTCGTATTCCATTTTCAGAGTTTTTTAAAGTGTTTAACAGAGACGTTAGCACCTCGACATCGGAGTACACAGAGTGAAGCAGAAACACTTGGGCCTTGCGAAAAGACTACAACTAATCGTAAACCGGCCCCATTTCCGTTTCCGGTGGCGGAGGGATATTGACTATTCCAACAGAACTCAATGGGATTTACAAAATGCTAAATAAAACACTACAGAAACGTTTTTTCTTTACAAAACTTTTTTTGGAACGTCATTGAACAGCGCTGACGACCCGGTGATTAGCATATTTTAAAAAAAGAACATTTAAGATTGTTTTAAGGACATATCGGACATGCACTATGGAAGCCATTCTGAAGCAGCCAGGGGGGGATTCTGCATGAGCCAAAAAGCAGAGACAGGACCAATTGTCAAAATTTTGGTGTCGATCATTCGATTTCATCCTGGACACTACAGAAAATGGGCTAAAAGTGTTAAAAACCGGAATTCTCCTTTAAGGACAGGAAATTTGACTTTAAACAGTTCTATTTATAACCATTCTAAGTGCTGTTTTTTGAAACTTGTACATCCATGAATGATTTATGTTATGTATTAACTTTTTGTGTTTGTTTGTGTTGTATAAATCAGTTAAAAACAAATAAATTTAGTTTGTAGTAGTGCAGATTTAAAGACATTTGTGAAGAAAATGTTGCGAGAACTTTAGCTGTTCTGTTATATTGCCCACGGAAAAGAAATACAACTTGAGTTGAAATAATAATAAATGATGGCTGACGGAGCAGCAAGGTAGTTTTTGCCGTGTTGTGATGAGGTTACACGGAAAATGAAGAAATTAAACTAAAGATTATGACACTACAACCATTATAATGTAACATATTGAAGGACAGCTTTAGTATGACAGCTCTTAATTTAAGCTTCTATAAATAGTAGTGACTATAAGGTCTTTGCAGCCATAAAATCATCCCTACATTTATTAAAAAAGTTAACATTCTCACTGACTGATCAAACATTACTAAAGATGGCAACTTCTATGTGAAATGAATCTAATCTAAACAGAGCAGTACATCAAAACCATCACATATGATCATATCAAACACATATATCAGATCAAATATGAACTACTTTAATTCATGGACCTTAAACCCGAAAATGCAACTTCCAGAATCCAATATGAAAACCAAATGGAAGAAAAGCTCAACATCTAAAGTAGATTAAAGGAATAGTACACCCAAAACATGATTAGCCTTCATTTTCTACTCACCCCCATGCTGAACAACACTCTGGAGTACTTTTTTGATATCTCAAATGCATCTGGAGATCTGGGAGGCTTCTTGCTGTCTGCTGACATTCAAATAATGGAGGTCTATGGCGCCCGAGTCAGAAAGGTCCATAAAAGTCCACAAAAAACGTGTCAATATTCCTCCATACTGCTCGTCCAATGTATTCCAAGTGTCCTGAGTGGGTAGCATCCAGAATTTACTCGAAACGAAGTCATTTAGAATGTTTTTAGAGCATAAACAATAGTGTATAGTATTTCCTGAAAGCGCGCACATGCGTGTTCACGAGCCTACGGAAGCCGGCAGACCAAACCAGACGAAAGTGCGCATTCAGCGTCTGCTCTGCCAATAATGCAAGCGTAGAAGAAGAAATGTGCTGTTTACCTGTGCAAAGAAAGAAACAACGAAAGAAAAATGTCTGAGGACTTCAGTGTTAAGGAAGAGCATGAGTTCTTTGCCGAGCTGAATGCGCTGGTTTGATCTGCCGGCTTCCGTAGCGTCGTGAACGCGCATGTGCGCGCTTTTAGGAAATCCTATACACTACTGTTTATGCTCTAAAAACATTCTAAATGACTTCGTTTCGAGTAAATTCTGGATGCTACCCACTCAGGACACTTGGAATACATTGGACGAGCAGTATGGAGGAATATTGAAACGTTTTTTATGGACTTTTATGGACCTTTCTGCCTCGGGTGCCATAGACCTCCATTTTTTGAATGTCAGCAGACAGCAAGAAGCCTCCCAGATCTCCAGATGCATTTGAGATATCAAAAAAGTACTCCAGAGTGTTGTTCAGCATGGGGGTGAGTAGAAAATGAAGGCTAATCATGTTTTGGGTGTACTATTCCTTTAAGCAGCCATGCAGCATGAAGTGTTCACTGCTTTACCCCACCCTCACTGATCAGGGAAATCATGACTTTAAATGTAACAAACAAACAGTTTTTTTTATTCTAAGTGTTTAATATTAAGGAACATTTCTTTGCACACCGACCTCCAAACATCAACATGTAGGATATTTCCTCATTTATCAGATATACCATCATCATCCTGCAGCATCATTTCAAAGCCTCTAACAGATTGTAACCACCCCTGCAGTTTTCCATCAAACCGTTTCCGTGGTATAAGCAGTTTTTTTTAATAAGAGAGTGCTCAGGTTTTGAGCAGCTGTGGTATCATGACCCCCCATGTGGAATGATGGCTGGGGGCCTTTTCAGACCGGGCATTACACACACAATGCGCACTTGAACTTCTTAAAGTCAGCTGTGGTGGAAAACTTCAGCCCCCAGAAGAAGGTGTGGAAGAATTGGCCTCTATGTGTGTCCAACCAGAGGAAGCCTGAGTTTCGCGTCTTCACCTTCAGCTCCTCTCTCTCCTTCCCTGCTGCTCTCCATCACAGGAGGATGCTCCCTCCAGCTCTGCCTTTCCCTTTTTTCACCTCCTCCACCACTTCATCATTAGTTCATTAGTTTCATTAGTTTCAATCACTAATGTTACTTAAGGAAAATTTCAATATTACATGTGTCACTGTACACTAGGGGTGGAACAGTTCACAAAATCCACGGTTCGGTTCGGTTCACGGTTTCGTGGTCACGGTTTTCGGTTCGGTTCGGTATATGTTGATTCATAGGAAAATCTGTAAGCTGACATGTTGGTCGTGTTGCACACACGCACAATCCTTGCACACTGTTGCACTTTTATCCACAACTTTCTTTCCGCCGTCATCGTAGGTCACTCTAAATGCAAAGTGGTCCCATACAGCAGACCTATAAAGTGCTGTTGGCGCGTCTTCCAACTCCTGTTCTTTCCCACACGCCATACCCACACAATTCTCCACAACAACTGAGTTTTTTCTGCTACACCCGGCTACGCTGCTTCGCTTCTTCTTCTTCTTGTTTACTACTGGTGGTTGGCTTTGGTCGCAGTACCGCCACCTTCTGCTCTGAAGTGTAATCGCTTCGCCTATGAGAAAAAGGAGCAGCGCATGAACCGAACGCAACACACGCGAATCGAATCGAGACAGTCGAACCGAACGGTGAATGGTTGTTTGTCCTATTTGTCTCTGTGTTGCCCTGTGATGGACTGGCAACCTGTCCAGGATGTACACCGCCTCTCGCCTGTAGACAGCCAGAGATAGGCACCAACACCCCTCCCGACCCAACTTGGGATTAAGCGTGTCGATGGATGGATGGATGGATAAATATATTGGACTTTTTTTTATAATTTGACCCTGTCAAACAGGGGACACTGCTTCAGTTTGTGGGACAGAAGTGAAAAATGTGAGACTGTCCTCCACAAACCGGGACATCTGATCACTGTAGTATGAAATTAGCTGAAATAAATCCTGTGTTTTGATCACCTAAAAATCAATGTTTTCACCATCTGATTAAAAATCTCATATTTTTGTTTGTCACAATATAATATAAAGAATGTGTTTTTGAGTGTCCAGGAATTATACATTTTCGATCCTATGATATTCTCTCTTAGAAAGATCGCCAAGTGGAAGGCACACCTTAGCCTTCATTCTGCTGGTTGATGTGGTGTTTGTGACAGGTCCTTTGACACAGGAGGGTTTTTTTTTCAGCTTTTATTGACATTACACTGTCATAAGTACAGAGCATTTAACCCAACCACTTGGGAAGCAGTGGCTACTGCGATGCACTGCTGCTGGAGGATAACCAGCCCTTTAGCCTACAGGTAGAATGTGCACATCATGCGGATTGATGCGCTTATGCGTTGTAACGTGTCTGATCTGCATCCTCCTTCGAACTGAAAGAACAATCATCCCAAAGATGCTGTTTTTTTTATAAACATCTATTCGTGTTTATTGTTTAGCAAAATAAAACCCTTTTTTGATCAGGATAATTTTTTTTTAATATATATAATGGGAAACGGCACAATAATGGTTCACCGCCGGCTGCTAAACACAGCCTCTATAAGGAGTTTTTCTACAGCTAAGATGAAGACTTGATGGGACAAAGGAAAAGGAAGCCAACATGGGCAGCCAAAATAAACCATTACATGAATTATCATCAGTGTAATTCCAGCTAAATTTGCATACCTGGATATCACGGTTGAAGATGGCTTTGGTGAGTCTCTTCAGGGAAGCAACCTGTTTCTCTGGGAAGCCGGCCTTCTGGTTGAGAAGAGGGATTTTCGACGTGTCCCTCGTCAGGGAAAAAGGATGAGTGTAACTGAGGGCCTTGAAGTCGTTGTGTATTGCGTGGCCAATAATGATCTTCCCCATCAGCAGCCTCAGGATCTACAGAATCAAAGCAGAGCTCAGTCATTCTGATATGATGCAAAATCTGTTAAAGGGATTGAGCAAGAAATCGGGGTCTTTATCCTAATCTGTTGGATTGAGAAACATTCTATTAGCCTCGTGAGACCATCCTGATCTCGCGAGCTTTCAAGGTTTCACTCGCAGATCAGTCTGGCTACTTTCCGTTAAAGAAAATTTGGAGCCGTTCACCAAACGAACGTACAATCAGTGTTGGCTTTGAGGCGGGTTGAGGTGTGACGCAACGAGAAGCGCGACAGTTCAGTCTAAAGAACATGGCGGCTTCAGCCGATGAAACTAGCGTTAGCGTGGCTATCGAGCAAGTTTTATCGGAATTACAGAGTATTTCTTCACTGAAAGAATAGCAAAACACTGCTCTGGAGGCTTTTCTCAGAGGAAAAGATGTTTTTGCTCTTCTCCCGAATGGTTTCGGCAACGGTTTGATCTATCAATTGGCTTGTGGTTGTGTTTTCGTTGTCGCTCTGTTAGTACGTTATATGCTTCGTTGATCTGATTGGTTTATTTGGCCCGTCTATCACCAACATAGGCCAATCAGCTAACCAGTATTTTCACCCCTTCCCAAAATTACTTTAACGGAAGGTTTCCAGATGGATATGCGGAGCAAATCCATCTGGCGGAGTCAGGTTAGGATTCTATTTCACAAGTCAATTTGCTGAAAACCTCTTTATAAATCATATAAATGGGCTAGAGCAGTGTGCTTTTGCTCTGAGAAGGTTGCAAGTAACCGGTTTGATCTCCACAGCCTTCAGTCTGGCTCCCTGAGCAAAATCCTTAACCCCACACTGCTCTCCAAGCGCCACACAATGGCAGCCCACTGCTCCCCAAGGGGATGGGTCAAATGCAGAGAGTGAATTTCCCCATTTGTGGGACAATAAAAGGAGTTACAAACATTTAAATTTAGAGTTTTTACCACTGTTGTCCTTTGTTGGCAGTTGCCAGAGAAACAGACAGATTCTATTGCACTTCTAATTTTAGTCTTAAAGTCGTAGGGAAATCATATTTAAATGTCAAATCAGTCTGGCTTAAACATTTATATAAATGTACTCTTTATTAGATGATATTGTCCCAAAATTTAGAAAATTTCTAACTACTTTAAAGTCGTAGGGAAACGGCTGTTCCAACGGTTGCAAAATCATGCAGGGAGCAGGAGGAAAACAGTAATCTGTGTTTTAAAAGGCCTTCTTACGTGACAGTGTTTAGATTTCACATCACCTCTCTGCGAGCCTCTGCGTACGGCGTGGCTTTGAAGAGGTCTCTGGGCCGAATACCGCTCCATGGTGTACGGAAGTCTGTAATGGGCACGTCGGGCTTGATGAACTTGTCGTAGACCACGTCCCCGTCATACGAGACGATGCTGCAGCGAGCCAGTTTACTGATGCTACCTTTGGGTCCCGTTCCCACCATCTCACAGTCGATGGCGAGGTACTTTGTGGGGTTCCCTGTGGAGGTGAGGAGTTTATGGCTGCTGGATGACGAGGGGCAGGAGCCAAGTGCTGCTGTTTTGCTGCTGCCCTGCTGTTTGGGCTTTTCCTGGCTACCTTCATTTTGCACAATGAGAGACTTTGGTGGAGGGTTAGAAGGAGAGGTTGAAGCCCCAGAGCTACCAGCAGTTGGAGGTAGAGAGCATTTAGGGAAAGGTCCATTCTGGTTGGAAGATTGCTTATGGTTATTGCTGCTCCTCTGATTAGGGTTACTTTGTTTATCTTTAAGATAACCCTTTGCCTTTAGGTATTTCATTCTTTTTAAAAACGTATTGCGGTTCTTCTTTTGCTTTGCTGTGGGACCGCCTGCCTGTGGGTTATCAACAGAGGAGGACAGATTGATCATAATATCAGACATGTTGAAAACTGATCCTTTCTATTCTTCATTCAGCTGGATCCAAGAATCTTCTTCTGCTGAGAGCCTCAAAAAGAGGCTTTTCTTTAAAGTCAGCTTTAAAAATGCACCATCCTGCAAGACAAAATAAAATAAAATAAATCAAACATTGTATTGGTGTCTGTAAAACTCCACCGGCCTGGTTATGTCTTAATGACCTGGAATCGGCAATGTTGGGCTAGTCGATGTAGACTTAAAATCGTTTCAGGATGTTTTGGGGTTCTTTCATAATAAGGATAAAAACCATCATTACTTCTTCAGAGTCTTTCTCAGGGAACTGCATGTGCTTGCATGGCAGAGCAACCACAGCTCCAGAATTACTTCTGCAGAAAGCTAATTTAATTTAGGCGTCTTAAGGAAACCAGTTACATAAAGAAATGTGATTTGTATCACTTAACATCTAACAATTATCATGTTGAATTATTATTTTTTAATTTTTTGATCCCACAATGGAAAAAAAGAAAGAAATAGAAACATAAAGTAACAATAAACATTTTGAAAATAAATAATTTTTTTAGGGATGTTAAGGATTAGTTTCAATCTATCATCTGAAAGAAAAATCTAAATTCTTATTATGGCAATAAACATAAACGAAACCCCTACTAATGTTCAGATTTGTTTCAAAAAAGCAGATGGCAGACCAGGAAAAGTACAGCTCATACTTTAAATAAGAACCAATGTGTCCATTTTAAATGTTTGAGTCTGGACAGACATGCATAAAAAGCTGCAGTTATAAAGTCAAAGTTGTAAACAAAACTCTCTGTCCCTACCTCTGAATACCTGTAAGAAAATAAGCGAATGAAAACAGAAATAAGTGTGCCCGTTTTGTCCCATTCTACCTCCAATGAAATGAAATTGTTTACCAGTATTGATAAACCAAAAAAACACAACGATGCCACAAAAAATGAATGTAGGTAGAATAGTTTAAAGAAAAACAATCTTTCCGAAGCACAAAAGGAAAGTTAGAGGGGATGAAAGGAAGCTGTGATTTGGGCTGGTAAAGAACTGACTCCAAGTCCTAGTTTACCCATTTGAAATATGGAAAGTTTTAACCTCTAAGCAACCAAAACAATGTATGTTTTGTATACTGTATAGGGGTGTAAATAATAATCGTTTTAGATTGATGCATTGATCCAACAGCCGATTATCTAATTTATCGACACGTCCGCAAGAGTATTCATTCGATTCATGTTTATTTTTATCCATTTGCATTTGGACGTAAGTCTGACTCCCGTGCTTCACATGCGCTAAACCTATTTTGTCCTACTGTCTTGCTTCCTTTAGCCGCTACCCTCTATCTGCTTGCACACACACACCCATATAAACACAGGGGCATTATTATTTTTCAGTGAATGAGATTTTCATAGGCCTAGGTGGAGTAAAACTTTGCTACTTGTGTTATTTTCTGTTGTTTCTCAAATAAAATGCATAATGATATTACAGCTTTCATTGATTTATTCCAAATTTGAAACACTGTCTAGCCTGTGAGGTAAAAAAAAATGAACCAATTAATCGAATTGAATCGTGGTGTGTTCTTTAGTATCGAAAATAATCGAATCGTTGGGTCAGGAAATTGATACTGAATTGAATCGCCATGATGGGTGTGATTTTCACCCCTAATATTGTACCAACATTCTTTTAAGTGTAGTTGCCAGAGAGCAACTACACTTAAAATGTCTTGCAGCACAAAGTCATTTTGTTTTCAAACAAAAACAGGAAGAACAGAAACAAAACAAACAACAACAAAAATAAAAAACACATTGAAAGGAAAAAAATTTATGCATTGCCTCCCCTCCCACACCTGCACACTGCACCTCAGCTGGTTGAAAAAGGTTTCCCTCACATTTTCATTGATTAAAAATTAAACAATTTGGGTGTTTGGGCTTGTTTTTGTGAGTCCTCTACATTTCTATTATCAAGCTTGTTTTATAACTGCAGCTATGAGTTAGCATCAGCGTGTTGTTAAAAAAAAATTTAGGGTATAAGATTCTGCTAAATAAGCATTTAAGTTATTGTTTATTGATTTGTGTAAAAACACAAACAGAAATGATTTATATGTTTATTATAAGCAGTAGAAATTAAGCAGTTAGAGCCTACAGCTCTAACTGTAGGCTTATGTTCGTTGTTTTTCCAATGTTTTTATTTGCTTGTTTAGCTTTTACGAGGTGAAACTGAAACATTTTAAATCTCTTGTTAGATTTTAACTTTACAAGTAACTAATGACAAAACATAATGGCTTAAAGAAAAGTAAAGTTTCATAAAAACAGATGTCATAAGGTATGGGTGAATATTCAAATAATTAACTATACTGATTGTTGAACTGTTTTAACACGTTAATTAACCGTTTAAAACGTTGTATCACAGCTAAGGCTATCTTGCTAAAGCTAGCAATGGATTTAAATAATACCAAAATAAAATCACTGAGCGGAAAAAATATACATTTTTGTTAGTTTCTAGATTTCTATTAGTTGAACAGTACATACCAAAAAAGGAGATATCGAAAGACAACAATGAAAAACTCTAAAACATCAGTAGTGTGCCTAGATGACCGCTGAAGGATCAGTTTCCGGGATAATGCTGCCTTCACGTTCCACGTACAGCGTTGGAGAAAACAAGTCTTCATAACAGTGGACGATGTTAGCGTTACTAAAAATGTTGAAGTATTTGTAATTTTTTTTCAAGGTTGTCTCAAAAAATACAAATCACAAATTAACCCAAAACACAAGCACAAAGTGTACAAGTTAAACTTAATAGAAACCAATGTGATTTATTTCTCCCTAAGAAATCATTGTAATTTACATGAAATACTAAAGAATTTTCAGTACCCCGAATCAGAAATTTTAAGAATGGGCATTTTATGTGTAAAAGAGCCAAAAGGACATTCATTCTCTGACATGGGAGTTGGCTCGGAGCTTGTCTGCCTGGCTGTTTGTTTCCTAGACTGGGCTGCTACAGCTGCTTTTTGTATCTCTGCTTCTGTCTCCTTGAACCACAGTCGGCCTCGGCAGATGGCCGCTCACACTGAGCCTGGTTCTGCTGGAGGTTTCTTCCTGTTAAAAGTGAGTTTTTCCTCTCCACTGTCGCTACAAGCATGCTTAGTGTGAGGGATTGCATTTGAGTCAATGAGTCGATGCAATCAACTGGTTTGATAGAAAACTTTGAATCAATTTGACTGTTTGATCTGGTGAACTGTAAAGTGACGTGTATACCGTTAATGGGCGGTATAGAAATAAACTGATTTTTTTTTTTTTTTTGGGTTGTCATTTGTTTTTCTCTTGGTTATTATCTTCCATGGAAATTTTCCATTTGATTTTATGTTCAAGATGTACGTCTTCGTTATTTTTTTTATTATTATTAAATGAAAAGGAATTTCAAAAACAGGTCCGTGAGTTGATTAGCATGTTAAAAAGTAGACTTGCACAGCAATGACGCTCGAAATTCCAGGGAGTTCCTGAACGCTTCATAAATGTACACTCCAAAGTTTAGCTTCAGGCTCTCGCAAGTCTTTTTAACCCAGTATTGTTTTTTTAACGTGATCTTCGTTGCGTTTCAATAGATTGCTATAAGGGCTAATTGCCAACCGCTTAGGTATTTAAATCCATTTGAATTTCGTCTGAAACGCTGCATTGTGATGCTAACGCATGTTAGCATTAGCTTAGGGAAAAGTCTCATGTCAGAACAGCAGCCACCGCCAACAACACAAGATGTGGACGAATTTACAGCAAGTTTTACTGCAGAACAACAACGGGAATTGGCGAAGAAAATAACCGCATTTTTGTCTGATTACGGTTATCTGTCCGACTCCTTTATTATTGTGCGTATATGGGGGCTAATTCACAAGAAATGAGGAAAAATATTTTATAAATGTAGTTATACCGAAGGCTTATTGTTAACTTGTTGTTTTATTTTTAGGAGTTCTTCACTGAAAATCTATGGCAGACGTTACCGAGCGCGTGGCAAGCTGTTCTGCAGAATCTTTCCTATCTACAAACTGCAGATCTACTGCTGGATGCTTCTCCTGGAGACAGGAGGTACTGATGTGTTGCAATCAGAGCCGTTTCTAGATACACTGAGGGCCCTGGGTAAGGGGGCCAATGAGGCCCTGTTGTTTCACCACATCCCACTTTACCCTAAGGACCAACTAATCAGAATCATGCAAAATAACAATTATATAAACAAAAACAAAAAAATAAACATTTACTGTTAACTAAGCACATCATGTCTCATTTAGAGAAACTCTGATCTGGTATTGATTAAATGTAAATGTCAATCCCTTTATCGTTCAACAATGGGGAAAGACACTTGTGTATTAGTGTCAGGTAGACCAGGTATCAGTAAATATGGGTCACAATCTGTAGGGGCAATTTGTCAGTTTCTTTGATAGATTTTAGTTGATTTTAGTTTTCAGTTTGTAGATATACCTTCTTGTCCAAAACTCTTCTCCTCAAAGTGCGATGCTCTCATCCTACCTTCTGATGATGAGGAACAAATTCTGAAATGGTGGCATTTTAAATGCCTCTTGAGAAGGAGCTTTCTAAGTATGGATGGGCCCCAATCTTACATCTTTTCATTAAGTCCTGTAGCTTATATGTTACACTATTAAGGACTGGCATTAATTTAATTTGTATATTTTGATTAGTGATGCGTATAATTGTTTTGTTTTAATACAAAGGGATGTTTACAAACAGAACAAGTGCAAATGCATCCTTGATGCTATTAAACAATGTAAATAATCCCTTATCGGGCCATAGGCTCCAGCAGCAGCACCATCTAGTGGAAGGTAGAAATACCTACAACACGAAATAAATTCCTTTTAAAAACAAAAAAATTAAATAAATAAATACATTTTTTATCTAATAAAGCATTAATCTACAGTTAATCATACATGTTTACCTCCCTAGTTGTAATTTTCTTTAAACTGGTGTTTATGTTTGTAGCAGCAGTAAAACTGAAAATTTGCACCTGGGTGGTTATTAAATTCTTTGCTGAGAATTAATCTAGATTTAGAATTTAAATAGTTGGTTTTACAGTTTCAGGTTCTCTTCAGCTAATTGTTGTAGAGAATAGAAACTTGGCTCCAAGCAGGGATGCACCTAAAAGATGACTCAGCTTTATGACACTCTGGTAGCACATCTTCAATTATACTTTTGAATTTTTCAGTCAGCGTGTTGTGTTTATAAACTAAATTATGATTTTTATCTGGAGATCCTAACCATACATTTGTTTAATGAGATGGATTATGAGGATGATGATGGATGACTTTATGATTACAGGTATCCATCAGTGTGGCCCCTGTCCCTGCTGACTTTCCGTGCCACCGCCCATGCCCTGGCGTTTCCCAGAGGATCCAGGCCGCAGCGAGGCAGGGCGACTGGTTCAGGGAAACCCGACGAGTTCCTGAAAAACCACAGTCAGAGTTCATTACTGGGCCACATCTTCAGGAAGCATGTCAAACCCAAGAAACAGCATGAGATCCGGAAGCTTGGCGTGGTACTACAGCTGTAGTTGGTTTTGCCCAGGTCTTCAACATGCTGCTGCTTCTGTGTTACATGTTTTATTTTCTCTCTCTTTGTTTTTTTTCTTCTTAGCTTGTTAAGCAACTCTGTGACCAGACAGGCTGCAGGAAAGTGGTGGATGTGGGCTCTGGTCAGGTAGGTATTGTAACACCTTTTTTTTCTAACACTTTTCACATGTTGCAACAATACTGGACACAAATATAAAGCTGAAGAATTTTTCTCTGTTGTTTTCTAGTAAGAAAACAAATTTAGTGTCCTGTTTTATGTGAACCCTCTAAACTAGGAGGCTTTATGAAACCTCATAATGACATAAGATAATATCAGTTCATGAAATGATAACACATTGATATCTGCATTTTCTTTTGAAAAGGGTCACCTGACCCGTTTCCTGTCCTTTGGACTGGGTCTGTCTGTGACTGCCATCGAAGCTGATCACACCCTAGCTGCTATGGCTTCCAGGTATGATGCAGAGTTACTGTGGGTGCTGGAAAAAGAAAACCGGAAAAAGGTCAGTATTTCCACACACATATTTCACATTAACATGTTTTATGACAATCCTGATCTATTCAAAAAATAGAATATGTGTTTTAGTGAGGCATATTGGTCAGAATAACATTTATGCAATTTTTTTTCCTTTAAATACAGTGGGGCAAAAAAGTATTTAGTCAGCCACCAATAGTGCAAGTTCTCCCACTCAAAAAGATGAGAGAGGCCGGTAATTTTCATCATAGATATACCTCAACTATGAGAGACAAAATGAGAAAAAAAAAATCCAGAAAATCACATTGTCTGATTTTTAAAGAATTTATTTGCAAAATATGGTGGAAAATAAGTATTTGGTCAGTTACAAACAAGCAAGATTTCTGGCTCTCACAGACCTGTAACTTCTTCTGTAAGAGGCTCCTCTGTCCTCCACTCGTTACCTTCATTAATGGCACCTGTTTGAACCCGTTATCAATATAAAAGACACCTGTCCACAACCTCAAACAGTCACACTCTAAACTCCACCATGGCCAAAACTAGAGAGCTGTCAAAGGACACCCGAAACAAAATTATAGACCTGCACCAGGCTGGGAAGTCTGAATCTGCAATAGGTAAACAGCTTGGTGTGAAGAAATCAACTGTGGGATCAATTATTAGAAAATGGAAAACATACAAGACCACTGATAATCTTCCTCGATCTGGGGCTCGACGCAAGATCTCACCCCGTGGGGTCAAAATGATCACAAGAACGGTGAGTAAAAATCCCAGAACCACACGGGGGGACCTAGTGATTGACCTGCAGAGAGCTGGGACCAAAGTAACAAAGGCTACCATCAGTAACACACTACGCCGCCAGGGACTCAAATCCTGCAGTGCCAGACGTGTCCCCCTGCTTAAGCCAGTACATGTCAAGGCCCGTCTCAAGTTTGCTAGAGAGCATTTGGATGATCCAGACGATGACTGGGAGAATATCATATGGTCAGATGAAACCAAAATAGAACTTTTTGGTAAAAACTCTACTCGTCGTGTTTGGAGGACAGAGAATGCTGAGTTGCATCCAAAGAACACCATACCTACAGGGAAATATGGGGGTGGAAACATCATGCTTTGGGGCTGTTTTTCTGCTAAGGGACCAGGACGACTGATCCGTGTGAAGGAAAGAATGAATGAAGCCATGTATCGTCAATTTTTGAGTGAAAACCTCCTTCCATCAGCAAGGGCATTGAAGATGAAACGTGGCTGGGTCTTTCAGCATGACAATGATCCCAAACACACCGCCCGGGTAACGAAGGAGTGGCTTCGTAAGAAGCATTTCAAGGTCCTGGAGTGGCCTAGCCAGTCTCCAGATCTCAACCCCATAGAAAATCTTTGGAGGGAGTTGAAAGTCCGTGTTGCCCAGCGACAGCCCCAGAACATCACTGCTCTAGAGGAGATCTGCATGGAGGAATGGGCCAAAATACCAGCAACAGTGTGTGAAAACCTTGTGAAGACTTACAGAAAACATTTGATCTCTGTCATTGCCAACAAAGGGTATATAACAAAGTATTGAGATGAACTTTTGTTATTGACCAAATACTTATTTTCCACCATATTTTGCAAATAAATT